TATTATTATTATTATTTAAACAAAAAAATGAAATCCAGAACATAGAAATAATACTCTATATATGAAACAAAAATTTATTTCTGTTTAAATGTACAATCACTATTATATGACAAATCAAGAAAATGGACAACTTTTATTTATTAATATATGGTCACTTGATTAAAGATCTTTTAATCTCCCTTAAAAAATCAATAAGATATCTATAACTACAATAAACTCAATAGAGTTCATAATTCATTGAGATTAATTTCATTTTATTCAGACAAAATAGTTATATATACGATATGTTTATTGTCTGTGGTGGGAAAAGTGACTTTATCTGTTTGTTTGCTCTTATAAAGCATTTTATACTGACTAAATAAAGCGTGTTATTTCCGAATTCATATATGATCACCAACTAGCATGGTGATCTAAAGATGAAGGTGAACCAACCAGTAGTTACAATGCTGATTATCTGGTGAATTCTGATCATCTATCTCCAAAGAAATCTTTATTTTAAAACTATTGATAAAGTTATAAAAGCTAGTTGTTTAGGAAAGCCGGATAAGAAACTTATGCTTATCAAAGGATTTGCCAGTTCATAATTTTAAGCCTGATCTTTTTATTTGGAAGCAATTTATCCAATCCGTTAACTTACCACAGTTTTTCTATGTCTCCTCGTATTTCATAACTTACTTTTGACTTGTATTCGTCATCTTTATCTTCTTCATATTCATTAAATGGATGACAACTTTTCCAATCTTTGCTCCATATTTTATTTTCATTCTTATTAAACTTTTGACTGATAGATAACTTAAAAACGTTTTATATTAACTTATAACGGTAAAACTATAATTTTTAGACGACCTTTGGACAGCCCTAAAAGGATCTTGAAACATCCACTTATTTACTATGGTTAAGTAAGGGTTATAGATTAGTAAGAGGATTTAGGAATCGGATTACCCGTTGAACGTTGGGGTTAGGAATAAGATTTAATATTTTCACCACGAGCTGATAAAATAGTATTTCGCACAAAAACCCAAGACCTACTATTTTAAATCTGATTAGTTCGTCCATAAATTATAATCTCGCCACTTGTAATACTTTTCGGGATACAATGGACATCTAGGATGCAGCTGGACGATCTAGATTTCGCAGATGATCTGGCCCTTCTATCCCAAACGCAACAACAAATGCAGGAGAAGACGACCAGTGTAGCAGCAGCCTCAGCAGCAGTAGGTCTCAATATACACAAAGGGAAAATCGAAATTCTCCGATACAACACAGAATGCACCAATCCAATCACAATTGAAGGAGAAGATTTGGAAGATGTAAAAATCTTTACATATTTGGGCAGTATCATTGATGAACAGGATGGATCCGATGCAGATGTGAAGGCGCGGATCGGAAAAGCAAGAGCAGCATATTTACAACTGAAGAACATTTGGAACTCAAAACACCTGTCAACCAACACCAAGGTCAGGATTTTCAATACAAATGTCAACACAGTTCTACTGTATGGGGCAGAAACCTGGAGAACTACAAAAGCCATCATCCAGAAAATACAGGTGTTTATTAACAATTGTCTACGCAAAATACTTCAGATCCATTGGCCGGACACTATTAGCAACAACGTACTGTGGGAGAGAACAAACCAGATCCCAGCGGAGGAAGAAATCAGGAAGAAGCGCTGGAAGTGGATAGGACACACATTGAGGAAAGCACCCAACTGCGTCACAAGACAAGCCCTCACATGGAATCCTGAAGGTCAAAGGAAAAGAGGAAGACCAAAGAACACATTACGCCGGGAAATGGAGATAGACATGAAAAAAATGAACAAGAATTGGATGGAACTAGAAAAGAAGGCCCAGGACAGAGTGGGTTGGAGAATGCTGGTCAGCGGCCTATGCTCCATTGGGAGTAACAGGCGTAAGTAAGTAAGTACTTGTAATACTTTTATTAAAGATTCGATAATTTTCTATCTTATTATAGACAATGCAAAAAATGACTTCAAATATGATTGTACCAGTTTTGATAAATGATATCATTCAGAAGAAGATATTCTTCGCTTAACTGTCCCACATTAATATCCTTAAAAGCATTTCATTTAAACTAGTAATAAAAAAATTAACTTTCTAATTCAATCAATAAATGTCGACAAGTTTACACATGACAATCTTTATTTTCGTGAAGTAGTTAGTATTTGTTTTTCTTTTTTAAATTAACTCATACATGTCTTTCTGAAATGTTTCCAGTAACGTCTTTTTTAAATTTCAAGTGTAATACTATTCACAAGTAAACATTTATGTACGCCATCACTGGAATATACATATTACCTAAAAGATGCGTGATAAAAATAAATAAATAAAACCACTGAGCCGGCATCCAATAGTGTTAATGTCTAACTTCAACCAATCCACAAAGTTGCGCTACCGTATACCATTGTCTTCAGTGAGCTGATATCTCACAGCAGACCTGGTTGAACTCCAGTGGTAACGACTTCGCACTAAAACTCCAGGAGTATCTCTTGTAGTCAGTCACTAGTGAGCAGATGATTATTATCAGAAAGGGTTTGTGGAGATTTTAGAAATTTCACAGATTGGAATCATGAGTCAATTGAAGCTAGATCACCATGATAGGTCCTGGATTCGAATCTCATGGGGTGCGGCATCGTGGATGCGCACTGCTGAGGAGTCGCATACTAGGATGAAACGGCCGTTCAGTGCTTCCAGGTTTTCCATGGTGGTCTAGCTTCAATTGACTCATGATTTCAATTTGTGAAATTTTTAAAATCTCCACAAACCCCTTCTGAAAATAAATAAAACTTCCATGTTTCCATAATTAAAAAAACTGTCTCAAATAATCATTTTATCAGTCTTATTTCACACAATAAAATTTATTCTAGATAGAGTTTAGCTCGTACAATATATTTGGTTGTTATATTAGTCACTGTTGAAAAAGGCTCATTCATATTACTTTTTAAAAAAATTTATCAATTAACCCGCATATCGAATTGTTGTTGTTGCTGTAGTTCTTGTTGTTGTTGTTGATGTTGTTGATTAATATTCATTCGGTTTAATAAACTTCATCGATAAACTTCATTCACTTATTGATTTTAATAGTATATCAACAACAAAAAATTACAAAATTAATACATTTAATTATCACGTATACCCTTATGTAATAAATTATTATTCATAAATGAGTAAGACAAAAAAAACTTTTTGTAACATTGATTGTATGTTTTGGTTTAATTAACTCTATTCCAAGTTGTAATGACTTCTATTTAAGCTACTTTGTTTTACTGGATGAATCGATTTGTGATTTTCATAAAATTATATAACTACTGATTGAGATAACAGATGAAATACGACATTCTGAGGAAGCGTTTGATGCTATGAATCTCGTGGGGTGCGGGATCGTGGATGAGCACTGCTGAGGAGTCGCATACTATATATATATATATATATAGTGCGAAGTCACTATTAAGCTTACCAGTAGAATATCAGTAAGCAGAAATGTGTTTGATTATACTGTTTAGCTTTCAATGGTGGCTGAGACCTACACAATTAATTATTCATTGTAGCCACTAAGCTAGATTACGATGAAGATTTGTTCTCTGAGCTCAGAGAACAAAACTCCAGCAAACTCATCCATCTGAGCTACAAATTTTCTCCACCATCTTAAACTAGATTACATAACACTATAGAACATTGATTTCGGCATGAGATATTTGAAATTGCACAGTAGAAATTTCTAATAAAATATCAATATAGCTTTGTTTCTACCTTGTAGCAATTAACTAACTATGAATAACTGATTGACTCAAAAATATTACTTACAAAATCTTCAACAAAAGCTAATTATCTTCACATAACGGGTAGTAATCACGATATACTAATTAGTAAAATGCTTTCAAATCTTATCATAGGCTAGCTTTCATAGACAGTGACAAAATACACTTACTTTTAATGGAAATGATCCTCATCAAATGAAACTGACGGCAATCGGACACTAAATTCAATGAGTTTAAATAATGTTGTTTATTTAGTTTCAGTCTAGTTTCTTGACATCCAATTTTTTATGCTGAAACATTATGTTCGATTAAGAACAACGTTAATAGTACTTAACATTACTAATTTCGAGACTATAGGTTGACAGTAATCTGTCAGTTTTAATTTTGGAAGTATCTGCCATATAACAGTAATTCGTAATGCAAAATCTTTTTGTTTCTATTTAGTTCACAAAGATTGTGTACATAGATCCGTAACAATAACTGCTTCATCTCCTCCTTTAATCTTTAATATTTCCTCGACAACTTTAATCCGTAAATATTTTATCTAAATCTAGAGGTGTTTTCATTGAAAGAAATCTTTCATCATAAGATGGCATGAAATGTAGAACTGGTAGATCGTGTATTCCAATTAAATTAGCACCAAATTTAACGTCAGCAAGTATTACATACATAAATTTATCCCAAAAAAAATCAGATTTATCCACTAACAGTCTCCTTGAGGTACACAAACTAAAATGCGATCTAATTAAATTTGCTTCGTGAAAGTTTATCTGATGTTATATATCAAAACTTGTACAAATGCACGAGTTAGCATGCTAATTTGATGTAATTTGTTTAGGATAAATAGTTTACCAAGCAAAAGTTTCTGTGTTAGAGCTAGTAATATTATCCGGCTGCCTAAATCAAAATAGATAGAATAGTATTCAAACTTGTGACCTGTTGATTGTAAGTCAAGTGTCTAAATCATCAATCTATGTCTTCATAGTTACGTTATCAAAGGTTGCATGCTTCAAATTTGTACACTTGTATTTTTGAAACACGTTTTCATCACAACAGCTGTTGCTTAATGAATTAGAGGTCTATATCAACTTATATAGTCGAATACTAAGTTTTGTCATGATCCAAGCTACATATTTTACTTGGGAGACTTATGACAAATTCTGATTTGACCAAATTTATAAGTTTTACACACCTACAACAGAAACTATTACTTGTTTTTTTCCAGGATCCATGCTTGGTGGGAGTATATACGTACTTACAGGTGCTGTAATGAATAGAAGAACTGGGCCTGCAGTATTTTTGGCATATATACTGGCTGGATGCGTGGCGTTACTTAATTCTCTAAACTATTCTGAATTAGCATGTCGTATACCAAAGGTAAGAAGATTGTCACTTCTAACTTTACTGAAATTCGCTGGCCGAAACTTACTTTGTAACTGTACTAATTTATCGTTGACTGCTAAATTTTACAATTAAACAGATATCATAGCTGACCATAATGAATTAATGATTAGTTTCATGATTCACATTTGCATTTAAATAAGAGGCTGCTTTTCTGGTCAAAATATAAATAAAGCATTATACAAGCATTGCATTGGCTAGTCTATATAACATCGTTTACAGTACATCAGTTCTTTTATCACTGGCAATTTTAGTGATGATTTATCAAGTGAAATCTAATGAACATGATAAATTCAGTCGATCACTACTTGTGTGTAGTTACACAACTTTCTTAACGATAGACAGTTGAACCTATAGTCATTAAAGTGGTATGTATTGTGATGAATAATTATCGCTGTAAACAAATCATAGGAAACTAATATACAATGAACCATCAATACTCTTTATATCGATTTCATACCCCTGAAGAAAACTGAGTAATTTATTAAAAGTACAATTACTAAAAAAATATTATAATATACTTCCATGGGCTATATTTATAAAACTATAAACACAACTGAGTTAGTCAGTTTTTAAACAGTTAAGTAACTGAGACATTTCTGTCAGTGAATTAATCTCTAATGAAAAATTGTCCTTAAGTAGACTATGATCAAAACTACGATAATTTGATCTCAAAATAATCATTGTGTTTCAAAATAGCAGTGTATCTTTTCTATCTGTTACAACTCCAAGTTTAGTGCAGTCACTACAATCCATTTAAAAATGAACCAATAGATTTTTACTGAACAGAAGAATGATAGTTCACCCACCATGAGATATGAGTTTTGTATGTTCAATTACATGGGAGTTTCAGGATGTATACATCTGAAGAACAAATATCTGTCCAGTACCACAAACTTTAAACTCATATTTTAATGAATTATTGCCTCTGTCAGAAACTATACTCGAAATAACATTGTATGAAATCAAAAATAGTGACCTAGCAATTAGAATAAATCGAAAACGTTCATAAAATGTGATACGAAAAGTGATAGGAAAAGTTGAATCGAAATTCAACATTATTGAGTGTTAACACTTTTTTCCCGAATTGATTATTATTGAATTTATTTTAAATATTGGAAGATCAATTCTCAATTAGTTGAGAGTTGAAACGAACTAAGAACAATACTGCATAATGAAAAGGTACATGAATTTTTCCCTGCCATTATTATACTCTAGTCTTTACAACGAAATCTTAATGACTTAAATCATATATACAATATTTATATATATTATATACTGCAAACATTTTAGGTTGTTAGCTAATCTTTAGCATTGATATGGGTTTCTACGTGAATTATCATTATTTTCATAATAATAGGTAAGCTGTACATTATTATATAATTGTATAGTATATGGCAGGTTATTTAGTAACTAATATTATCATTGTTTGTTTTTCTTTATATATGATTTTTACTTTGTCCATCTTATTTAGGCTGGTTCTTCATATACATACATTTATTTTATCATGGGTGAATTTCCTGCTTTTATAACTGGGTGGGCAATACTACTTGAGTATATACTAGGTATATCACTTGTTGCAAGATGTTGGAGTAGTATGCTTGACAGTCTTGCAGACAATCATATAAGTAAATGGACAATACACAGTGTTGGTAGGTAGGTATACTCTTTGTCTAATTTATTTGAAAATTTCCCTAAATTGTTAATTATAATTATAACTTTGATTCTGTGAAAAATATACATCTCAGACTAATTCTAGTAAGACAATTATTTTTTTAAAAATCATGGAGCACTAAACAATTGTCTCACATTACTGCTCATCACAACAGGATTATCAGGAATCAAAAACTACACTGCATATATCTTTTGGTAGATTTTATTGCTGAAACTTTACTGAACATATAATGTAGATCTAACAAATAGCTTCCTTGGGTAGGATGTAAGTACACCTACTTTCACTGCACATCTATTAAAGTAATCTCATAAAAAATACCTTTTCAGTAAGTGGTATAATTGAGAATGTGAACCAATCAATTTTAGACGACCATTGAAAATCTGGAAGCACTGGATGTCCGTTTCGTCCTAGTATGAAACTCTGCTATGTAATTCTAGCGTGATTATCGACTTCGATTTCACTCGAGTCTAAACATATGTGGGTTGTCCTTCGATTATGCTTGGTTCTATTACCTTTACCTTGTGGTTTCTAAACTGTTATGTCCTTTGATAGAAGTTCCAACACCCTGTTAAAATAATCTTACTATTTTCTTGGGACTAAGGTTATTTCCTTGTCACATCGCCGTAGTAAAATGCCTTCTTTTCTGTTTATTTCATTAGATAGTTTAGCATGGTTCTTACTTAAATTCGGTAACTGTTTCAGTACAATATTGTTATCTAGTTAAATAAACTGTAAAAATGAAGCAATTTTATATGGAGCGTTTTCGTATTTGTATGTTGTAACTTTAGAAACAAAAGATAATATATTTATTTAAATATATGTAAAGTTTACTGGTGAACAAGTATGTTCATGTTTTTTTATCTACAGGGAGTATTTCCTAAACTTACATAAGTTAAGATCGTTTTAACAGTTGCATGTTTGTACTTTTAAATCTGCTTCAATCAACTGTAGCAGATATAATCCTCAAATCAAACATGTAAATCAGAAGGTGATTCATGTAATAGATGTGATGTGCATGAAATATACTTTCTATTTCTATACGAGATTAAATAACGTCTGAGCTACTGCGAGTATGACGTACATGAACTTTAGAGTTTACATAGAAACAATGACCTCAGAGGGCATTCAAACATTCTGTGTAGCATATTACATTTCTCCACAGAGCAAATGTCATTCCTTCCTAGCCCAGAAAGAATCTAAGCCTACAACTAATTAATTAAAATTCAAGTGTTTTAACCGTTAAACAATTTCTCGATTCGAACAAATGCGGAAACTATCAATCGGTACTTATATCTGAACCTAGAGCTATAAGTACCTTCGAATTTATTTATTAAGGTAACTTATTTCTAATGCTATTTGGTTATTTACTTTGTTTTACAGATTATCTCATCCAGGTGGTGTATTAGCTGAACATTATGACTTTGTCGGTGTATTGCTGATTATTATATTGTCAGCTATATCTTGTTGTGGAGTTCGTGGCAGTGCAAAAGTGACAGCAGTTTCAATTTTTGTAAATGTTGGTGTACTAACAGTAACATCAATCTATATGTTTGTATACAGCAAACCAGAATATTTATATATCACCTCACCTAATATTACAGTAGATAAATTATCGCCAAATCCAAACTTTTTACCATTTGGAATACCAGGTTTAATAGGTGGTACAGCAATTTGTTTTAATGTATTCATTGGTTTTGATGCAATATCAACGTGTGCAGAAGAAGCTAAAAATCCTAGTTACAGTCTACCTAGAGCGAATGTTGTAGCCGTTATAACTGTAGCAATTTTGACCACAATATCTTCACTAGCACTAACTTTGTATTACCCTTGGTTTCTTATTAGTACCGAGAGTTCATTTTTAAGTGCATTAAAAGGTAATACACTAAATGGTGGACCAGAAAATGTACGAACTGGAATGTTTTATTTTGTTGGTGTTGGATCATTAATTGGGTTAATTGCCTGTTTAATTACTTCATTAGTTGCTGCACCAAGAATTAGTTATGCTATGGCTCAAGATGGTCTTATTCCGACTATTTGTTCTCATCTTTGTCAACCTTTCAAAGTAAGTTTATTATTTATACTATCGATATATATATATATATATATATATATATATATATATATATATATATATATATATATATTTAAGTAACAAAAATATTTGCACTAAAACTGAAAATAAAACGAGTTAACGAAAAATTTATAGTGCTTTGGAGACAGAAAAATGTATAATAACACCTACTTTTTCAAATACAAATCTTAAATCGAGAACATATAAGGATCGTATAAAATGAATAACCCCACCTATAGCTCTCTTAGGGAAATTGGGAGTCCAAAATCCGATAGACAGAGAGAGTCAGGCAAGAGGTTAGCATCCCACTTCCGTAGAAAGCAACATTACTAAAAAAACGTTAATCAGAAAAAAACAATTAAAAACATTTAAACTATGTCTTCCCAGTTGAACCACCTTCATCCAGAAGAATTATGACACCTCATGGTGAAAATCAAGATTCTTCGAAAATCATCAGAACGATACTCCTTCTAACAACCACAGATGCAACTACTATGGGTACATGGAATGCTTGGACAATGTGTGAGTCCGGAAGGACCAGTCGAAAAGCTACGGAAATGAGGAGATACAACTTCATCGTGCTCGGAATCAGTACAATCCATTGAAGCCTAACTGAACAGAATAGATTCGATTCGCTTCGAGAGAGATGCTGCAGTGCTCTGATCGCGAAGATGCAAATGCTCCAAACACTCACAGAGTTGCTCTGATGCTATCCAAACAAACACGTGAAGCAATTACAAGATAGCAATCTCATAGATCCACAATCATCAAAGCGTCATTGAAAAGAGAGAAGGAGGATGTTACAATGAACACTATCCAATGTTGTGCACCCATCAGTGATAGAAATGATAACGATAATGATCAGTTTTACGAGAGACTGCAGTCGATCATGGTGAAGTGCTCAGGAAACGACTAACCATACTCACAGTAGATTTAAACACCGACATCAGAATGGATAACACCGGATATGAAAATATCATGGGACGACATGGACTGATTAGGAGGAATGAACGAAAATGGTGAGATATCTGCACATTTATGTGCATTCAACAAAATAGTTACCGGTGCCAAAATATTCTCACACAAACGCATACACAAAGTTACATAGATCTCACCGCACCACACTACACACAATCAGATCGATCATATTTGCATCTCTTGAAATTTCAATAGGTCAATGGAAGACGTGAGAACCAGGAGAGGAGATGATATAGCTTCACATCACCAATGACCCGGTGACTGCCAAAATGCAACTGAAACTGAATAAGCAATGGACAACTAGGGAAATAGCATTACGAATGTTCAATACAGCCTTACATTCGACATACTGACAAACCCAACCAATTCATGATAGATCTCAACAAGTGGTTCCATGAATTACAGGATCCACTGGAAGAAGAGGAAACTACAATGGAGAACAGGTGGGAATGTATGAAACAAACACTAACTCTTATGTGTCGGGAATCCCCGTGCAGTAAGGAGCATCATGGTAAGGAATGGATCTCTATGGAAACCGTGTTTTGTATTCAAGAAAGGAAGAACATGAATATACTAATTAACAACAGCCGAACAACAGAGAAATTCAAGTCACAATCTGAATACACAGAATCAAACAAGCAAGTGAAGAAGAACATCAGAACTGACAAGCAGAAATACATGGAACACATAGCAGTGACAGAGTTAAAATCTGAAAGAGAAGGCTATTTGAAACAACTATATGATTCAATGAAGAAACTGGCCGGGATATTTTGGTAAACCAGAAATACCGGTCAAAGACTAAGAAGGCAGGTCAATCACTAAGATTCAACGACAGAGGAAACGTTTTCAACAGAGTGTTACTGAATCGGATGAAGGACTGTATAGACATCCATCTCTAAGATCAACAGACCGGGTTCCGTAAGGATCGGTCGTGCACAGTCCAAATCGTTACACCTCGGATCATCGTTGAACAATCAATTGAATGGAACTTATCTGTATACACCAATTCCCTTGACTATATGAAAGTGTTTGACAGTGTGAATAAGAGAACACTATGGAAGCTTCTTCGTCACTATGGAATTGTGCGTTGAAAACTCAAATTTACGACTAGTGAACACTTAATTTTGATGTTTAATCATTTCTATTAGAGCTTCTGCAAAAAGCAAAAGAAATATTAATACTAATTGATTGAAATCACATTTGATATGTAGAAAGTGAGTATAACGTTTTAAATATAATTTCTAACCTTATTATAAAGTCTATATTTCGGCTTTTTTTTCAGTTATCTGATTCCTGATATTTCCGATGGACTATAGCTTACCGTAAATAAGAATCAGAATAGAATAAGTCAAGATCTGAAATTGTATTCATGATGATGTTTAAGTAACCATTTTGGGTTATTTTACATTCCGTAAAACCAAAACGTTTGACCTACTTTCAGGAATACTTGCTCAAATTTAAAAAAATGCACCTAACTGTCAAGTTAATCTCATTTTTAGAAAATGCTAAATAGAAATATGACTGACTGTGAAGGTTAACTTACTCAAAAATATATTGACAAAATACTATTATAGTACTAAACTTTTCGTCTTATATTTTTTATTTTAGACACCTGCCATTTCAACAACATTCGTCACAATTATAACAGCCTTACTAACATTGATTTTCAGTGTGGATAGTTTAGCCGATTTTATGAGCTTAGGGACGTTAATCGCTTATTCCATTACTGCAATAGCTATTATATGTATACGTTACAGAAAACAATCTGATAGTCCACAAATATTGACTGAAACTGATCAAATAGAAACAGACAGCATTGAAAAGGATAAGGTAACTAATTTTGTTTGTCTGTTAATAATCTATTAAAATTGATGTCTTACTAGTGTACAAGCAAGTTATAAACATGTTGTATTGGATACAAATGTGAATTCTGCTTTCTAGGTTGATTTGCTTATTTTTGATTGATAAATGGTGGAATTAAAGATCAACGTTCCTCGAAATCGTTTATTCAGACAGTTTATTCCAAGGAAAAAAGAACATCATAAGTTGTATCCTCATATTAACCAGGTACAGGCAGAGATTCATGCATCACTATATCTGTTAGTAATTTCCTGCCAGTAGAGTATTGGCTGTATTTATCTAAAAATTTCAAATATATTTGGATTTTGTAGATTATCCGAAAATATTGTATGGTCAACATTAGTACACATTAGTACTTGTTGCTGTCGAATCACCCAAACAAATAGATCTGTCTATATTAATATATATGAACTGACTATGCAAATGACTTAATACTGTAGAATAATTTACAATCATATTATTTTACTTGTGGCTAACAGTAATTTCTGTGAATTGTCCTTGTTGATTTTCTTGTAAAATACTTACCAATCTCACTAACCAGTGCCTACTGACTTACTGTAATGATTAGTATTTATCACAATTAATGAATGTCATGCAGAATTAAATATATTTCCTGAATCTTATTGTAATGAACGGGAACACATGCAAGGACAAGCAAGGTTCTTTGGTCAAATATGAAAACCATACGTTCAATACTTCATTTATAAATCCTCCATCAATTGTATCAAACTATATCGTTCCTTCATTACCGTAACAATTACTCTCTGTTCCCGTTCTCTTCAACTCAATCTTCCCGACCTGCTGCCAGACCTTCCACTTCTGATGTCAACATAAGTAGCATACACCATAGTATTATTAATTCCAAATGAACAATTACTAGTAATCATTTGCTTTTCTCATGAAATCTAACATGCTATAATACAAGTTTTTTATTATAAATGACCTTTTCAAATGAATTAATTTATTCATCTTAAAAGAGTATTTCGTTTTGATAACATCAGATTTTTGTTGAATTATTACTTTTATAAAGCCTGTTAAACAAGTGGAACATTTCAAAAAACGTATTGATAAACCAGGATTCGTAAAATATCCTTATGCTCGTTGTATACCTAATTGTATATTGAAGATTTTCAATTCCGGTTCACCTGGTGATACAGTTGTTATGATCATGGCTACTTATATTGTATTAAATGGTGTTTTAATTATGTGTTTGACAATAGGAGCGAAACATGAATTGTGGCCAATATGGAGAATTGTTTGTGTAGTGTTCATTTTAGCATTACTGATATCCTGTATAGTATTGATGAGCATTTTTAAACAATTTGGACCACCTTACAAAGGTTTGTTTCAAGTAAGTTTTTTCACGTTTTAAAATATGATATTGGTATAACTTCAGTGTAACAGAGAAGAGACCTAAACTTCGATGTAGACAATTTAAGTTGATAGATCTTTTAGCTCAGTAGTTATCAAAACATCACCGTTCAACCCCTTATCTTGATGAATAATATCGTCAGCACATTATTGTAAATTGCTAAGATGAAAAGGACACTCACTATGCAAGGATGATAACTTAGTTTGTTTTATCACTTGATTTCATACAAATTTAAAAGTATTTACAGGCTGTATACTTAGTAAGTGATGTTGTCTTTAAAGCTTTGATCAAAGTCCACAAACACAAGAAACTCAGTTTGATCACTTGCGTGGGTAACACTTTATTGCAGAATAACATTGATCGACTCATTATCTCAATCAATAACCCAATAATATACGCAACTCCATACTGATAACATCTTGTATCAAATTCTAGAATGAGTCAACTCAAATCTTTGATCAACTGATCTTAACAAAAGTGGAAAAAGTTTTATTCTAGAGGACTGAAGGAAACTGCCAACAAAATGCCAAATTTAGTTTGTACCCTTGTAAAACTTGATCATTATTTTCTATTTGAAAACTGTTGGGAATCTTTACACCTTATTGAGATATTTACGTTAATCATCCGAGGTGATCTTATTAAAGCATCAAAGCTGAATTGTTTAAACCAAATAAGAAATGAAAACATTAGTCATCATTTCCACTTTGAGTAAACCTTGTAGTTCAAATTAAGGAACTTTGTCAATCATATAAAGAGCCTGATTTCATAAATTGTTATGTTCAGAAATATACATTCAAAAGATATGGTTAGTAGATGTTTATGGACTTAAATTTTATACATACTAATCAGATTTATGACGTTAAGTTATGTAAAGATAATTAGTCTATTTCCATTAGTAATTAAAATGTACATATTCAATTTCTAATATGTAACGGAAATAAGAGTTTCAATTTTTCACATAATTTTCATTTGTGTTACATTTGAACATATGGTCTTATCAAAGATAATGAGAACGGAATGGTAATCTAATGCTTATCAGACAGCGTGCAGCTAATAATTCCAGTTAGTTACTTATGCAGTAGTTACATATAATATTACTATAAACATATTCATTATAAAATAACTTATTATGATTGCAATTATGTACTTCCTATGTAAAATTGGATGAAATTTGATAACATATATCTTGAATGATAACTGTAAAATTCATTTTTATGTAGCCTAGTAATGGTAATCTATTTATTGAATAAACACACAATCAAGCTTCAAAAATTATCCTTTAAACTATGGAGATTAGAATGATTTTAATCACAGTTATCTAACTGTATCCAGTTAATTAAATGTTTTCCGGACAACTCTTAATGGTTGTTTTAAGAGTATTCAACCATTTATCTCCTTGATCAGTGGACCTAATTACACGAGGATACTTTTGACAACTGAAACTTGTAGTTTCAATAACTTATCTCCTGGTATTGAACGATACGTTTTCATAATTAGCAAACGTCCAATAAACGTCAAATCCTCCATTAGTCAAGTTAGATCAACTGGCAATTTTATTCATAGATTATATGTTGATAAAGAATTATTTAACAGGCGGAATTATTTGAAATAAAACTATATCATTAACGATCTTACCAGCTGAAATTTAATAACTCTAACCTTTCGCTACCTAGTCTGATCCGAACTTTTACAAAGAAATAATCAAAATTATCGAAGATATTTTATTGAATGCTTCGATTATTTTTATAGTTTACGTTACGAACTGACCTCACCATTTAAAACTAGGGAGAACTAGACATCTGTTTCATCGTGGTATGGGACTACTCAGCAGTGGGCATCCTGGACCGCACTACAGGGGATCAGATACAAATCTCGGAGCGATGACTTAAACAGCAAATCACTATGATGGCATCCAACAGTGTGGTAGTGAAAGTACAATATAACTAGTCGGTGAGCGTGGACGAACAGGCACTTAACCTACTGACTATTAAATATGTGATTTCCTATCCTCTCATTAATTTCCACTCCGGACTCACTGAGTGTGACTGCTTGTAACTGTGTTGAATAAAGTATTACCTGGTGTTAATCTGGTTCTCTATTCTGGGTCGTGAATCTTGGATCTGATATAACATGACTAGTCGCGTTATCGTATAACGTATTATCGTAGTATACCCGAGAAAAAGTTTTTAAACCATCTGTTATATCAAAGTTAATATTTTATTTACAGCTTCCCTATGTTCCGTTCATCCCATGTGCAACGTTAACTATAAACGTATTTTTGATCAGTGAGCTTTCATGGGTTACCTGGATAAGATTTACTATTTGGATAGTAATCGGTAAGTACTTTGTGTGTTGTTTTATAAATACAAGTGGGAGTTTGAAAACCCGTAAACTCTTAGAATGTGGTTAAAACTCAGTCATAGAATTCTTCATTCTTAGAAAATTCACTCTAATAGCGAACAAAATTACCTAGTATTTCTTAAAAATGCCAATCGAATATAGCTACCTACTGTAGATAACGACAAGTCATTAGGTGCTAATCAATATTACTTTAATATAACACTAAAATTTGACCATTATTGTAAAGATATCCCATACGTAACCAACTAGTATTATCTGAGCTTCATTTCAAAATATTATTTTTATTATGGTAAAAACGAACTAATCTTTGATATGAGTTCACTGTAAAATACCTATTTAAAGCTCATCGAGAAAGTGATTTTCAATACGATTAGTACATTGAGGCTAATTAAATAATTAATACATTTTTTTTCAAACTTGACTCTAAAACATTATGTAAATGAGTTGTGATTTAAATGAAATCCCGACAATACGATCAGTGTATTAAATTTCGAGTTACTGATGATGAGAATTGTTTCCAATTTATTTTATTCATGTTGAAATCTTCCCTTAACCTAACTAACGAATATTTTTTCCAGTTAAATTTTTTTACAGATCATCCCTTCTGTCAGCATATTCTAAATTTCTATCAGTCGACTCACAAAATAATAATTAACATTTCAATGGTTAAGATCATGAGTCAGTAAAAGATAGATCACTATGGAAAACCTGGGAGCACTGGATGGCCGTTTCGTCCTATTGTGGGACTCCTCAGCAGTGCGCATCCACGACCTCGCACCCTGCGAGATTCGAACCCAGGACCTGCTGGTTTTGCGCGCGAGCACTTAACCACTAGAACACTGAGCCGGTCAGCGTCCAACGGTGTTAATGTCCAACTTCAACTAATCCACGAAATTGAGTGGCTATGATATCCACAAAACCCATCTGATAATTAACATTTATTAGTGTAATTAAACTTTTGTATAATGCAGGTTAACAAACTGGTTAAAAATAGAAAATCTAAGTTAAGAACGTAACTGACACATTTTTCTTCTTAAGTTTGGTTTGAATTTTATAGGCCTTAAATTTTCGAAATTCTTCAGTGAAATAAAAAGTCATTTTCAGTAAACAGAAGTCAGTTATCGACGATCATTCTTATACATAATTTAGATTGCATAATTTTAAATAATGTATCCTGAAGTTATACTGAATTTCTTTATTGTTTCATATTTATACAAGGTCTGATACTTTATTTTGGATTTGGAGTAATGAACACATATCGACTATCTAAAGATAATGAAAGTAACAATTCACAAACTTATCTACATGATCCAGACGATGAGAAAGAATTCGATAAAACTTACATGTCTACAAATAAGGCCACATAAGAAGTCCTTTATGAATAGATGGTGATCACAAAACAGTTGGATTCAAATTTCTTGTATTTTTCTTTTCAAACTTGTTTATCTTCTTAATTCGTTTATATTTTACCACAAATATTATGACTTCAACTTAAATTACTCCTATCATCTCATTTGTAGAAACCAAGAGACCGTCATCCTCAGTACTCAATGATGATAAATAATACTTATAGAAAGGCAGTGAATGATACTTTGAAGTTTTGACTTATCAAAAACCACAATCTCTACATTTTAATTTACACATACTACTAATTTCATAGAACTATGATGGATTGTAAAAAATTTCTTACTGCTTATTTTTGTGAACAAATTATAATTAATGAAGAGGGATAGATAAACCAAAATTATCTGAGATTATGAACTATATTATTTATATAACCTATAAATAAGTAACAAAAAACTATAATCAGCTTCTAGTATGTTATAAATTTTATTTATGCTGAATCAAATATATACATGTATAATTCCAGAACAATCGACACTTAGTTCTTTGCAATCTCTTCATTTGACTGCTGTTGCGAGGGAAACTATGACAAAACGTCCATACCCTGCATGCGAGGTCGTGAATGCACACTACAAAAGAGTATCACAATATGACACGGAGGTCAGAAAGTGCGACCAGGTTTTCATTGGTAGTCTGAAATTGATCAGCTTACGAACTCAATTAAAACGCAACAATGTACATAACCCTATACCGTGAACGATGATTATTTCTTAGTCCAACAAAAATGACGCAAAGAGATTCTCTGCTTCCCGAATCATTTATTCACTTACTTACTGCCCTATATACGCCCGTTAATCCTTGAGGAGGATCATAGGACAATCACCAGCATCGTCTATCCAACTCTGTCCTGAACAATGCTTTCAAGTCGTTTCCCAGTGCTATTCATCATCCTCATGTCTGCTTCCAATTACCCACGCAGTTCGTCCCTTCGTCTTATTCGTTTCCGTTACACTTCACGACTCGAAGTTAGCACTTGCCTACTGATGCAGATTGGTGATCTCCTCAATGTATGTCTCGTCCACTTCTAACGTCTTTTCTTAATTTCCTCTTCAGCTCAAACCTGGTTTGTTTTCTGCCACAGTACACTGTTGTTGATGATAACCAGTCAGCAGACATTGAGTATCTTACGTAGACAATTGTTTATAAATACTTGTGCTTTTATGACGGTGGTTGTAGTAGTTCTGAAAGTTCCAGCTGCATACAGTAGAACTGCCTTGACGTTCTTATTGAAGATTGTGACTTTGATATTGGTTGAGAGAAAGTTGTTTTGAGTTGCATATGTTGTTCAACTGTAGGGATGCTGTGCTTACTTTGCCAATCCTTGTCTCTACGTGTGCATCAGATCCTCCACGTTCATCGATGATACTGTCCAGACAGGCACATGAATGTTTACAACTAATGTAGAGCTTCTCCATCAAGTGTGATTGTATTGTTGTTCTCCATGTTGTGTTTGAGTATGTTTCTTCCGCCCTTGTTGCAGAGGTTGCTGCTGCTACTACACTACTTGCTTTGACCTGCATTCGTTTGTGTGTATGGGATGGGAAGTGCTAGGTGATCTGTGAATTTCAAATTGTCTAGTTGCATGCCAGTTGTCCATTGTATTACGTGCTTCCCACCAGATGTGGAGGTCTTCCTTAGTCAATCGACCACCAGAAGTAATAGAAATGCTAGAGGGAAAGAGTAAGCAGCGTTGTCTGACTCCGGTCTTTACTTGGAATGTATTTGTCAACTTCCTTCTATACACAACTTTGCTGTATAGTCAGTTGTAATAATTCCGTATGATTGTAACAATCTCCTCAGGTACATCGCAATGTCGACGAAGATGCCATAATGTTCTGGTATCCGCCATGTCAAATGCTTCAAGACATAGCACTTAATTAGTTAACATCAGAGGGGGTTTGTAGATATTTTAGTAATTTTAATAATGAGTTACAGTGAGTAACCATCTCACAACAGACCCAGTTGAACTCCACTGGTCACTGCTTCTCACTAAAAGTCCATGAAATACCTCTTGAAGCTAGTCACTTTTGAGCATATGGTGATCAATATCAGATGTTTTTGTGGATATTATAGTAATTTTAACAGTTGAATTCATCAGTCATTTGAAGCTAGACCACCATGGAAAACCTGGAAGTACTGGACAGCCGTTTCATCCTATTGTGAGACTCCTCAGCAATGCGCATCCACGATCCCTCGCTTTAGTTGACTCGTGATCTCAACTATTAAAATTACTTAATTAATTATTCTTCAACGTTTACATAGTTGATAAATTTCCTAGAGGTTTGAAAGAAGTGGTAAATTCCATTGATTAACTTAACAAACAACCACTTGATATTTAAGAATAACTTGTAGATAAATCAGTATTTTTAGATTGGGCTATTAGCTTTAAATGAATGAAATTCGGCGCTTTTCATGTATCCATTCGATAATTAATGTCGCATAAATTTTTAAATACAATGTTTAAGAAATTATAATTAAGTCCTTTTTAAGTACTTGTTAAGAGTATAAACAATAGCCAATAAAATAATAATAATAATAATAATAATAATAATAATAATAATAATAATAGTGATAATTATATTAATAGTAATAATAATAGTAACTTCAAGCCTGCTCATATGACCGTTTATTCTTATAAACAATCATTCATTTGCAAGAGAATAATCTCACAAATATTGATTTAATTGATTAGTTTAAACATGAAAAAAAGAAGTTATACATATATAAACGTGAAAACTTATAGATACTACTAACTACCATTCATGTTTCATTTTATTAGTTTTCATATTCATGTGATAAACTGCTGAAACAAAAGGACCCACTCTCTCTCTCTCACTCTCTATAGAATATACCATATATATAATAATGAGATTTGCCTACCACATTTTAACTATTCTGAATCTACTGTAAATTGGACAATAAAGGTCTATGAATAGCAGTTGTTTGCGCACTGTATCTGGTTAATTTTACTGGTTTAGAAAGCTAGCGCAAATTAGGTCAGAACTAGGTGACATGACAAATCAAGTTATTTGATGAACTTGCATACATAAAAAAGAAAATTTACGATAAAGAAGAGTATTAAAAGTAAACTGTGTTTTTTTGGTTCAGAAACTGAAACCTAGGCTTAACTTCTATTTCTGATTATTTGTACACTAGCAATCTATAAGAATTGTATTATTAATTGGGTTTTCCAAGTTCAGTAATTTAAAATACATTGGTCGTTTAATAAATATAATTATAGTAAAAACTGAAGTAAACGAGTTGACGAATGAGAATTTTAAAACATGAAAATGAAAAATAAAGTGGAGTTATTTGTTTATCCCGCAAAAATTTTCAGCCATATGCTCTAATAATGAGCTCCGCATGTAGCTCTCCTACGGTAACTGCCGGTCCCTAGCCCACGCAAAGAAGAAGGGTTGGGCGAACGATAAGCATCCCCAGTCCGTGGAAAAAAACATTGCTAAAAACATTCACCAGAAAAAAACAATTAAAAACATTTAAACTATGTCTTCCGAGTTCAAGCATCTTCATCCAGAAGAATTATGACACCACATGGTGAAACCCGAGATTCTTCGAAAATCATCAGAACGATACTCCTTCTAACAACCACAGATGCAACTACTATGGGTACATGGAATGCTTGGACAATGTGTGAGTCCGGAAGGACCAGTCGAAAAGCTACGGAAATGAGGAGATACAACTTCATCGTGCTCGGAATCAGTACAATCCATTGAAGCCTAACTGAACAGAATAGATTCGATTCGCTTCGAGAGAGATGCTGCAGTGCTCTGATCGCGAAGATGCAAATGCTCCAAACACTCACAGAGTTGCTCTGATGCTATCCAAACAAACACGTACAGCAATTACAAGATAGTAATCTCATAGATCCACAATCATCAAAGCGTCATTGAAAAGAGAGAAGGAGGATGTTACAATGAACACTATCCAATGTTGTGCACCCATCAGTGATAGAAATGATAACGATAATGATCAGTTTTACGAGAGACTGCAGTCGATCATGGTGAAGTGCTCAGGAAACGACTAACCATACTCACAGTAGACTTAAACACCAACGTCAGAATGGATAACACTGGAAATCACATATCAATGACAGTGGAAACAGCCGCATGTGAAGGAAATATGAAACAACTATATGACACGATGAAGAAACTGTTAGGGAAATATAGTAAACCGGAGGAATCGTTCAAGCACAAAGAAGGTGAGACAATCACTGAGATTCAAGTACAGAAGAAACGTTTTTAACAGAGTGTTGCTGAATCGGATGAAAGACTGAGCAAACTCCCAACTTCTAGATCAACTGAGTGGATTGCGTAAGGATTGGTCGTGCACAGACCAAATCTTGACACCACGGATCATCGATGAACAATCAATTGAATCGAACTCGTCACTATACACCAATTCCTTTGACTATATGAAAGTTTTTGACGGTGTGAATAAAACAACCGCATGGAAACTTCTTCGAGACTATGGAGTGAGTACTTGGAAAGATCATCAGCATCATTTGGAATTCATACGACGAACTACACTGCAAATTGGTGCATGAGGGACAGCTGACAAATATATTCCAAGTGAAGATTGGCATCAGACAATGCTAATTACTCTTTCCCTCTAGCATTTCTATTACTTCTGGTGGTCGATTGACTAAGGAAGACCTCCACATCTGGTGGGAAGCACGTAATACAATGGACAACTGGCATGCAACTAGACAATTTGAAATTCACAGATCACCTAGCACTTCCCATCCCATACACACAAACGAATGCAGGTCAAAGCAAGTAGTGTAGTAGCAGCAGCAACCTCTGCAACAAGGGCGGAAGAAACATACTCAAACACAACATGGAGAACAACAATACAATCACACTTGATGGAGAAGCTCTACATTAGTTGTAAACATTCATGTGCCTGTCTGGACAGTATCATCGATGAACGTGGAGGATCTGATGCACACGTAGAGACAAGGATTGGCAAAGTAAGCACAGCATCCCTACAGTTGAACAACATATGCAACTCAAAACAACTTTCTCTCAACCAATATCAAAGTCACAATCTTCAATAAGAACGTCAAGGCAGTTCTACTGTATGCAGCTGGAACTTTCAGAACTACTACAACCACCGTCATAAAAGCACAAGTATTTATAAACAATTGTCTACGTAAGATACTCAATGTCTGCTGACTGGTTATCATCAACAACAGTGTACTGTGGCAGAAAACAAACCAGGTTTGAGCTGAAGAGGAAATTAAGAAAAGACGTTAGAAGTGGACGAGACATACATTGAGGAGATCACCAATCTGCATCAGTAGGCAAGTGCTAACTTCGAGTCGTGAAGTGTAACGGAAACGAATAAGACGAAGGGACGAACTGCGTGGGTAATTGGAAGCAGACATGAGGATGATGAACAGCACTTGGAAACAACCCAAAAGGAGAGAGGAAGATAGAGTTCGATGGGGGATCCTAACGTGAGACCTATGCTTTGTTCTTTATACTATTTAAACTTCCGTTTA